TCATACATTTCTATCGCCGCCCGACTTTGTATTTAAGTCGCCCAGCTACAACTAAAACCGCAGACTAAAAACGCGGGAGATATACACGGTCAACCATGCAGACTACTAAAACCGCAGACTAAAAACGCGGGAGATATACACGGTCAACCATGATCATCTTGTGAATAAATAACGAGGACATTTTTAAACATACGATTGAGAGCCTTTTGACAAGCAAATGAACTAGGAATTATGATGATATTGTTGACGTTCTACATTCACTGCGCAAGCTGACAAATGACAATCAAAATATCATCACACTACAGCCATCAATTTTCCAATGGCTTGTATCAACACATCCACATTTTCGCTAGTATATGGACTCGTAACTCAGTCCCACTCGACAGAACAACATTCCAGTTGGGTTCGGTCAGTTGACTATATTTTTTTTCCACTTGAAAATGATAAATCTTAGGAGCATCATGATGGCATGATGCCAAATTACACCCACCGTTCGGCGTTCCGTCATCAGATCTGTGTGACATATGTAACAAACGCTATCCGATAACACTGAGGAAGGTTATTTAGAGCCCGAACAAATAACTGCCGCTGGTTACAGGGATAGACGATGCGGGTTCACCCCCGTCTGAAGGACACTGGCGCTCACCAAGGAGGACATAGGTACGACGGACAGGGTGGAACGGCTGACCTCAGAACTTCCGTACAGTAATCAGCAATTAAGGACTGAGAACCGATACAAGTCGAGTCGCCCGGGAAAAATATTGGCTTGCGTAATGATGAGCAGGACAAAACCGCTAACGCTTCCAAGGACTAATTCTATGACCACATTATGTCACTGATTTCCGTTGAAAATTGCCAACGACAGATTCTAAGCAGAGTTTTGTAATGTATCTTTGCAGTGCACGGGCAGAGTGCAAACAGTCGCCGTGGGAACCCGACTGTTTGTTGTAGATAGGAACATGGGAGATAGCATACAGAAGCGGCCGATCTCGGGTCACCTTCTGCGGCGTCTATGGTCGGAAGTGGAACCGACCAGAGGCCTCTTGCACCAAACTACCTAGCTAGGTAAAATCGAAAAACCGGTTTCAGAATAAGCTAATCTAACGGTGGTAAATTTGTTTGCAATAGCCCAATACATAATCCTACATGTGCTTGCAAAATTTTGCATGCAAATTGTTACATTTGAGACTTGGACTGGGTATACAATGCAAAATAATCCAAGCATTGGTGCAAGAGGATTTTGGTGCAAGAGGCCTCAGCTCCGCACTGCCAAAGAAATATGAAACAATAAGAAGCCCAGATGTACTGGACTTGGAAATGGAGTCTGGGTGTTAAGTGACAAATTCATAAAGGATACAGAAAAAAAGCAGGAAATAAAAGTAGAGTTGAACATTTTCTTTTCCCGCCCATTTGCAAAAAAAAAAAAAACAGTTTAGCCTACGTTTGACTGCCCTTGGAGTCAACTGGACAAAGGAAAGCAAAGGACTGATATATTTCCCTTTCATCACCTTGTCTCTGATTCAGATTCTTTATGAGCCTTTGCATCGTAGCAAGATATTGTGCGAGTTCATTTATTTCGTAGGAATGAAATGAACTCGCATGGCGGTCAATGACAAGTTAAAGGTTGAAATTGAGTATGCCAAATTAAAAAGCTGGTCAACGAGGTCTCGTTATGTCCAATATAATTTGCGAAAGAGCACTCACAAAGGGAAAGGCAGCAGCAATCCTGTGTTAATGAAAAATGAGGCTCTCTTATACTCATAGATATTCCGATATTTCTGTTGAGAATTGCAGTTTGCACTTCAGTAAAGTTCCACCTGTGATGCTCCATGTTCATTCATGTACAACCTTAGTTTCAGTAATATCAAGTACCTATGGGATCAAATGGCATCACAGGGTCACTTAATTTTGGGGGCAGCCCCTTAGGATAGCAATACAGGATGAGAATTAAAAATAAAGGAAATGAGGTAAGGTTGCTGGTCCTTTATCCTGAGGCAAAGATATTTCTGGCTGTCACAAAAAAATCAGTTCATACTTTCCAGGAAATCAGCAACTTACACCAATAACAAACAAAAATATAATGATATATGAAGACAGAAGAAATTTACTGTCTGGAAGATTTGCAGTAAAAAATGAGTGATAGACATGAAGTAAAACACAATCACACCTGTTCTTTCATACACCCAGTCCCAGACCAACCACTAAATGGAAATATCAACTATCTTATGGTACTTGCAGGATATGTAAGCAATGAATCAAATAGGAAGTGTGTTTTATGTTGATATACAACCCTGTTTTCCAAGCCAAGACTTGTATCAAGGCAAGTAATTGGAAAAGCATGAAACACTGGTTTTGAAAGTCCAAGCTTTTTCTTCAAGAGAGTTTTCCAATACTTGGCAATAAGCCATGACGGTGATTCCCCGTGGTTAGTGGGAGCTGCCACAGCCAGACAGCCAGGTACAGTCAGTTTATATGACAAACCACTTCCACCTTTGATGAATAAGCTAGTTTTGGACTGTGTCGATAGGTGTTCAGACCTGCGCGGCAAGCACTGTCTGGCATGGGACACAGCTCTGTGAATCCATTAATTCAAACAGAGGCCTCTTGCACCAAAATCCTCTTGCACCAATGCTTGGATTATTTTGCATCGTGTACCCAATCCAAGAATCAAGTGTGACAATTTGTGTGTAAAATTTACCATGCACCTGTAGGATTATGTATTGGGCTATTGCAAACAAATTTACCACCGTCAGATTACCTTATTCTGAAACCGGTTTTTCGATTTTACCTAGCTAGGTAGTTTGGTGCAAGAGGCCTCAGTAGAGCTATCTATCATATAAAGCATCATTTACATTTTAAGGAGCAGGATCTGTTAACTTTGTTATGAAATATGAAGTTTTCAAATGTGTACAAACTGCCATGGGTAAAATCAAATAAATCAAAATGGGAGGGTGCTGGGTATGAAACAGCCTACTAAATCCACTTAATAGCATCTAAAGCCAGGTAATATAACCTAATTGGCTCTTCTTCATAACAACCAGCAGTGTGTTCCCTCACATATTCATCTGAGAACAATAAATTATTAATTTTTCAAAACCAATTGCTATGTGAATTGCTGGCCAAAAGCACTACAACTTGAACTAATACCTACTATTATTATTCAGTAGTCCAGCTAATACAATATATATTAACACATGGTTTCCCGTGTGTAAATGGTTTTAACGCACGACGTGGATGGGTTGGAGCACGAGTGTGTTAATGCACGAGTGAAACGAGTGCATTAACGCACAAGTGCTCCATTCCATCCACGAGTGCGTTAAAACCATTTATGCACGGAAACCATGTGTTAAACTAATTAATACATGCTTAACGGTGCAAATTTGAATTAAAATTAAACTTAGTCCATGACACTAAAAGGGCCTTTTATGGAATTCTTAGAATAAAGTTAATGACCCTTCCGAAAAACTTCAGTCGAGAAAGTCATCACTGGACGCGCGTGCACCAATTTAAATTGGTGCACGGCTACCTTCGAATTAACGCACGGTTAATCCCCAGTGAACGCACCGTAAAGTATGTATTAATCTTACTTACTTACTTACTTACAAGTACAGAATTTTGGGGGTGCTGGGTCAGCAATCAAAAAGTTATTTATTTTTAAATCTAATTACAATCATAATAGAATAAACGGTAAAATTAGCCGTCTAGACAAGATGCTATCTTTTGTTTAGTTCAAAACGTGCATTGCACACGGTACGAGACATTCATGGCGCATGCAGCGTGAGGGACGTCCGGACAGTTCAGCGAATAAAACACCACCAAACGTTTAAAATTAATAAGATCGAAGTTAACTGAAGCTCATTTTCACCCACCTTTCTGCTTATTTGCGATGTTGTTGAAGCAATTTTGAAAAACTTCGTAGAGCTGCATAGGGTTATCGTCGCTGGCCGCCATCTTTCCTCACCATTGTCTGCCGCGGGGAGAAGAGGCCGCCAAATTGTTTATCTGCGGATTCATCTCCAATTCATCCCGAATGAAAGAGACAGTTGATGCTGATTGAAGGTTGATTTGTAAGAAAATCATTTGATTTGATTTTAAAAAAATACCGATAACACCATGCCAACTACTTTGACTCATGTGGTCACTTGCTCCCGTGGCCTGGAGATGGAGAAGACAAAAGCACAAGGCGGTCAAAGAGAGTTGAGGCCCGATTTATGTTACAATTTAAGTTTATGATAATGCATGTAAAGAAACAAGCAACTGACGATCCAGGACTACGGAGTCGATGGATTTTCGGTGATCCTGACTCCGGCCGGGACTCCGGCTTCACATAATCGGCTCCGACTCCTTCGATTCTAACTTCAGCTCCGACTCTGGGCATCCCGAGTCGGAGCCGTGACTGCCGTGTTCATAGGCGGCGGAACGGGGGGGGGGGGGGGGGGAGGGGGGCACCAGAAAATATTTCGACCAACAGACTAAAAAAGCTCGAAATGTCGACTCTGATTTTGACCCCGGCCAGAGCTGAAGACTCCGACTGACAAGACTCCGCAGCCCCGCACGATCACTTTTGGCGTCTAAGTCCCCTTCTGAGATTCGGCGATGAGCTCGATTGAAGCGTCAGATGCTGTTTCAATAGAAGCAATGACGAAGCAGGCGTCTCCACATGGCACATGGCCAGATAAATAATATTAGAAAAATAATGTGCTGATTTGCCAACCTTGATCGAAGAGGAAACCCTGCTGATTTGAGTCCCAGCCAAAGCCCGACGGTTGGATATAACTAAGAGTAGACCGTTTGGTGACTGGTGTTGATTATCTAACGGTCTGACGCGCGTACTCTATGCCCCATTCCCAAAACGGAACGGGAAACCACTGATGTAGCCCGTCATCTCCGGCGGCATACCAGGGTACTAAATGGGAAAACTCCCCAGCGGCGTTTCATTGCATTATTCAGATGGTGACTGCGACGCGTTTCTAACGGCATTATTCATCATCATAAAATGCTTTGAAATATTGCAGTATATTTAGTCCTCGATGTTCAACAAAACTCGATATCTTAAAACACTGGGCTAAAATGGCACGTATCGACGAACGTAAAACTTAAGTACAAAAGCCTGCACTGGCATTGCACCACCGTTATATAGCCACCGAAAGATCCGTGAGGGGGCGGAGGAGCCGTCCAGCGCGCAGCGCCCCGATCAGGTAGCTCCAGCGCGACTGAGGCAGGGAGCCCCCATTAGTGGACAAACTCCACATCTAATTAATGCGCGGAATGGCTGAACGGGACTCGGGCACCACTGTGACGACCAGACACCGGTGCGCGGGTACCTGGGGACTCACGGCCCGAGCCTCTGTCCCTGCGACCCCAGATCTAAGGCCACAGTTACACACTCACTACGCTAAACGGCTTAACTACGAACAGCCGGATGGCACGCTTATACCTGTACCACGGAATAATTGTAATCTCGCGTGACAATACACAAGCTCTACGCTGACAATTGGCCCAGTTTCATCCTCAATATGTACATCTAACGTCGTCTCAAGCCCTGCAAGGCTCTGTTGAGAGCAAAAGTCTGGCAACGTGTAAACATGGAAATGTCATCGTCTACCAGTGCAACTAAGGCAAGTACACCAGCTATGCAAATAACCAGCGGCACCTCAGGCTTACTGCTTCATACACCAGGCACTTCCTACTCAATCAGTCTTGGAGCGTTATCCGTAACTAGCATATACCTTCGAACATTTCCTGCGTCTCACGTTCACGCCGTTTTCCGCCAGCGCTGCCGCGGCGGTGACCAACACACGCTCCACATCTGCTCACTCTGTGCGCTCTCTATTTGCTGTCGGTGTCCCCGTTGACGGCCGAGTAGGGAATCTGGGGCGCGATGGGAGACATCTCGAAGTACAGCTCCGGGTGATCTCCGTGATCAGGACCGTCCACTGTCGGCTCAAAGCCCAGGTCGCGCCGCACGCGGCGGTCCGGCTGTACTGAAGCTTTCAGCCGCTGTGGACAGAGAGCAGCACTCAGCAGGGGCAGATTTACGTTTGGGTAGTTGTCTTTGGGCGACTTTACGAATCAGATTATATGAGCTCCATAGCTCCTCTTCAGTGATTGCATAAGATTACGTACGTCTATCAACAATAATGCGATTCTTTCATATTTTTTTTAGCATATCTTTCACGATATTGGCCATAACAGCAAGCGGGCACATAGCATAATAGCTAGCAGCTAAATTGAAATAGTATCCAAATTCCAGCAAAGCACCCACCGTTACAACACAGCACACCACACACAAAGCTCGCCGGCCCGGCGAGCGTCGCCCTCTCACCTCCATGAAAGTGTCACCCTCAGCCCGCCAGAGGGCCAGGACGGCGCACACGGGGATGGGCAGGACGGGCAGCGCCACCAGCAGCCAGCCGAGTCGGGACGCCCACTCGGGGTAGTCGTACGGCCCGTACGTCAGCGGCTCGTGGTCGATCAGACTGAACACCCAGATGGCCTGCGGGGGTAGATGGGGTCAGGGGTCAGACGGGGTCCGGAGTCAGACGGGTCAAGTAATAAGTAGCAGTAGCACATACCTCTCACCACAAGCAAACAAACATTAACAAGCAATAGTTCAAACTTAATCCTGCTCTATCCATCCTAACCCAAACCAGCCCCTCCCTGCCCGCCTCACCAGAATCAGTAGCGGGGCCAGGAACTTGAGACAGACGATAAAGTAGTTGGAGAACCGTTTGCCGGTCATGGCCAGGAAGTCCTGGTTGAGCCTCTCGGTGCCGTACACCCAGGCCAGCGTCACGACCTCGAACAGCGCCAGCAGGATGAGGGACGTGTTGGTGACGTTGTAGTCCATCAGCTGGAACACGTACATGCCGCCCTGTGGAGAAGAGGGAGAACCCAGAGCTATGAATGACGACCGAGACTGTGTAGAGCTATCCCCATACTGGGCTACTTACAACCGTACAAGAGACTCATGGCGACTTTATTAAACAAACCAAACGTTGGCGTCATGAAAAGTAGCAGTATCTGCACCGAAAGTATCACCGTGAGTAGCCGGCAAAAAGCTTGTGTTCGATAACCTACCTATAACATGTCTCCCGAAAACGCAAGCTACAGTACGGGTATATTCCACAGAAAACACCCCACCTTTCACCCGTGCTTGACACCTAACAACGCACTTCGCCACCACAGAAATATCGCCCAAGTAGGGGAGAGTGGGGCAAAGCGGCCACCCGGGGCAAAACGGCCACCCATCGTTTTAGCCCTTCATAGCTGGTGTCAGTTCCAATTTATGGTTTCCAAATATACTTCTCTTCACGGTCGTTCGAATGAGCCAGACCGGGGTTTCAGGCCCATCACCATTGTTCTGTGAAACACGGAAAGCATTTCTTGCCAGGTTACCAATTATGTTTGCAATTTTTAAATGTTATGTTATTCCATAACCGTTTGGAATTTTTATAACCGTTCTTGTCCATGCATTGCATGATTATCGTACATGTATTCTACCAATTTTAATGTTTTTTACCCCACTAATAGCTAAGCTGGAATATTTTTGTCTCGGACGGTATGCGCGGGGCAAAGTGGCCGGGGCAAGGTGGCCACCGCCAATTGGCCCTAAGTTGTTTCCATCTGGATAAAAAACATTATTTATATTTAAATGTGTCGTCATGCATTCATCTTGGCCACTTTTCAGTTGCATGAGTAACCAAATAATGCAATTAAATGTTTTTTTTTCATGAAAATCCTTTCTTTGTTTACCTACAGGTGGAAGATGATAAAGTAAACATCCATCTTCGCTTAAAACTTGTCACCATCAAATACCCTAGGCGTACATGAGGCAACTATTTTGTTTCTCATATTGGGACTTAAGAAGACGCCGGTGGCCGCTTTGCCCCAGGGTATGGGGCAAAGTGGCCAATATGCATAGGTTTAAAGTTTTGTCAATATCTTGCGTATGTGAACGCCTTTGGAAATAAAACGCAGTTGAAATAAAAGGCAACTTGATAGGGATCACATTGGTATAGAAAGAATCTTTCCAAGTTTAAAAATCAAGCGTTGGCATCGTGAGAAGCGTTAGGGTGGCCGCTTTGCCCCACTCTCCCCTACTTATATCGACATGTTTATGCGATAAGCCTCAATCAACACAGTAATCGTCTGCCAAAAGTGTCCCTCGAGTGCTCCCTGTCCCCCTCCCCTCCCTGAGCCTCGAGCTACCTGTGTGACGTAAGGCAGTCCGAGGCCGAAGGACAGCAGGCAGATGACCAGTACGAGCAGCTCGTGGCGTTTCAGGTACCGTTTCACCAGGCCGCTGTAGCCGTCCTGCAGAGACGTAATCACCACCTCCAGTGTGGCAAACTGCCGGCGAACGACGCGTCATATGACGTCATTGGAGGACACAGGGAGGTGCAGTGTCTAACATGAGATCAAGGTTGTCAGTGTTTCTGAATGCAGGAAAAATGTCACTAAGGTAAAATATTAAGTTTGTCAACAGTCTTCAAAACGAAACGACATCAGTCATCACTCAATGATTACAAGTCGATAGATGAAAACCTCCGTTATATGTTACCGTCTCAAACGCCAGCAACTGAAACAAAACCATCTAAAACTGCAGTCGACTATAACCCATTTCTACATTTGACGATCTTAAAAGCAAAACGTTCGACAGTTGGACGTGCAAATGCCCGTCATAACTTGCGTCATAAATGCCCTTCACAACCCGTCTACTAACTACTGGGTATGGGTATTCGCCATTATTCGTATTTACTCGCCCGTCTCAGTTTTCACGTTTCTCACCTGGCTGTCCAGACCGAGGCAGAGCAGCATGAAGAAGAACAGCACGGACCAGAGCTGCGGGAATGGCATACTGGCCAGCGCCTTCGGGTAGACCACGTATACCAGGCCGGGACCTGAAACAGACGGGTGGGCAATCAGACAAACAGCACGGCAAACCAAATATGCCAGGCCGGGGCCTGCAGCGGCTAAGGTTAACAATTCAGGTAAACGGTACGGTAGACTACGTCATACGCCAGGTCGGGGCCTCAAACGGTGTACATTGGCAAGTCATCAAACGTTTCATCAACGCAGGCACAGACTTCTCTATATATAGAGAAGCATATATAGAGAAGTCTGTGACGCAGGCAATCAGCAAGTGAGACGAATTTTAGCTAATCGATATCTTTATCCTAGTCACCCAGTGTACCCACATGAGCTATAAGCAGTTTGAAGAAAAAAAGATACTAAAAAATAAAGGAAAATGGGAATCGACAAACATCTAGACGAGACCCGGTCACGGGAAACTTGTGCGTTCACCCCGTTTCAGAAATCTTTTATCGCTCTTATATCTGTCCTCTACTGAGAACTATTCGCAGAAACATCAGGTTTGAGTCTGATCATCGTTAGTTTAGTTCTGCGGTCCTGCGGAGCCAGCGGTCAGTGACTAGGACGTAGGTACTTGGTACATGGTACTCGTCATGATAACAACCATCAATACCTCCTACATCGGACCACCACGAGTCACAGTGTCATAACGAAAATACAATGCATTGGTTGTGTGGAAAGATAGGAGACGTCGGACTTTGGCTTCAAACGAGTGGTACGCAGAAGTTAGATGGAACTGCTGACAACAGATGAGTTCCTGTGGAGAAGTTTGAGACGATATTTCGCATCGATGCAACCTGACATCGGTCTTATTCCAATGTCATCGACTGGTGTCGCTTCCACTACCTATTGCTCCAATGAGCACTGAGCAATGAGCACACTTTTTACAGTGTTACCGTGAATATAGCCCAAATGAGTATCGATTGGGGTGCGTAGTCCATGACGTTATCAGTGATAAAGGCAATGGATCAAACACAAGTTTCAACATGCTCCACCGAATGCACTCTTAGTAAACCACTAACGTCAGACAAATGACAAGCGCTATATGTTCCCATTTTCCCCCATCATACGTACCGTCGACGACCACCTTCTGAATGGGTCTGCCCAGCTCCATGGCGATGTTGCCCAGTGTTGCGAACACGATGATGCCGGCGAATACGCTGGTCAACAGGTTGGCCAGGATGATCACCATGGTGTCCATCAGGATCGTCCTGTTCTCGAACTTGTTGTAGCTGGCGAACGTGATCATCGAGCCGAACCCGATGCCGACCGAGTTGAAGTTCTGCGCCAGGGCATTTACCCAAACCTGGCGGGCGGCAGACAACATGCGTTTAAACGTAAAATTAATCACATTATGTCATCTAAGACCGGTCCTAGGATAACAACCGTCTCTAGGATTACAATGCTGCAACTTTGTAAAACACAATCACCACCAAAAAAAGCCGAAACACAGGCATACTTTCTCACCCAGTCCCCATCCCCTCCCTTCATAAAGCCACTATAACCAAACTTACTTCACTAACAACTCTAACCCACCTTGGAGTCGGCGAGTAGTTGCCAGTGCGGCTCTCTTACCTTGGAGTCGGCGAGTAGCTGCCAGTGCGGCTCCTTTACCTTGGAGTCGGCGAGAAGCTGCCAGTGCGGCTCCCTTACCTTGGAGTCGGCGAGTAGCTGCCAGTGCGGCTCCTTTACCCTGGAGTCGGCGAGTAGCTGCCAGTGCGGCTCCCTTACCCTGGAGTCGGCGAGTAGCTGCCAGTGCGGCTCCTTTACCTTGGAGTCGGCGAGTAGCTGCCAGTGCGGCTCTCTTACCTTGGAGTCGGCGAGTAGCTGCCAGTGCGGCTCCATAAGGCTCGCTCTGACTTACCTTGGAGTCGGCCAGCAGCTGCCAGTGCGGCTGGAACAGATAGCGGATGCCGGTCGAGGCACCCTCCAGGGTCAGCGCGCGCCATAGGAAGGCCGTCAGCAGGAGGTAGGGCGCGATCACCGTGACGTACACCACCTGCCGGCAGACGGCAGACGCACCGCCCTACGTAGGTGCGTTTCAACGGGGCATAAGGAGCACGGCCTGACACCGGCCGCCGCCCGAGGGGGGGGGGGGGGCAGACGCACCGCACTACGTAGGTGCGTTTCAACGGGGCATGAGGAGCACGGCCTGACACCGGCCGCCGCCCGAGGGAGGGGGGGGGGGGGGGGGCAGACGCACCGCCCTACGTAGGTGCGTTTCAACGGGGCATAAGGAGCACGGCCTGACATGGTTGCCGGCCCCGTTGAGGGAGGAGACACGGGACCATCACGCACGGCCATTTTCACTTTAGAGCGCCATTTACACATTGGATGGGAAAAAATAAAAATAAAAATCTCGAGTCATCCCTACCAGTTTAGGTACCTAATGCACTACATACAAATTTTGAGGACAAGACGTGACTGATCGAGAGGATTAGATGATACCACAGCTTTGATTAGGTTGAATAAAAGTGTAGGCATGGGTGCAGTCGCCTGAAGGCATGCAAATTTCACGATACTAAGTAAAACTAGTTCTTCAACATTCTTACGAGTTACGACGCAACCGACACGATGTCGACGATATACGCGACAGAAAGACCGGACGAAAGCCGATGACGAAATGGGCGATTCATGAGCAAACCGAAGATTAAATCTTATCCAACAACTTACCGCCTTCAACTTGCCGACTGCGCATGAATCATCAAATTGCAGCAAACTGCAAAGATTACGTCACAAAGCCGCACATACGCCAGCGGTCATCCCATCGAACCGGTAGGAGCCAGGTGAAAACGGGAACAGAATAGATGACGGAGCAGAAACGCCCGCCGTATAGCCAGGAGTCACGGCGTGCTCGCTCGCTATTACCTTGCCTACAAACCAGTTGTATCTGGATTGCACTGCCGGGACCACTCGCAGAGGAAGCTGGGAAGGGCCGGATCGTGTCAGTGACCTCTCTCGGCTGTCGCTATGGACAAGGCCGCTGGGCGACCGCAGTAGTACGGCGAGAGATACGAGCTGAGGTCATGAATTTCAGAGTGTGAGGTCTGCCTTGGTGATGCCGGGATGATAAGTGGGTCCAAGTGGGAGCGCACACTGGACTTGGCACTAGCGCAGGCCGACGACATTACGCGAGTTGCATATCAGTGATTGTGCACGCCGGCCTTTCTTGTCGCGGGGCTGAGCAATCATTACTGTTTGAACAAAGTTAGCATTACAGCATCAAAGCCAACACAGCAAACCTGCAATATTGACACTTGACACACTTGGCGCCAAGGACCAAACAACATGCAACAGATATAAGTTCACTGATCCACGTGGATGCACTACTATCAGGCTTTCAACTAAGCCCCGCCGGCAGAGGTAAAGCAGCCGAGGGATATGTTTACCGTCGTGAGCGTCGGTAATTTTCCATCATGAAACACGACACCGCCCTACACCGGGCGAGAAGACACGAGGAAAGTAGCGGCGTCTGCCGCCGATGCCGACGATATTCTGAGGACCGTGATCACGAAAACGGCGGCGAATTTCGTGACAGCCATATATGTAGAGCGCGAGGCTGAAGCGACTCTAGCCGTTCACCTTCCTCTATGGACCTGTAGTCCGGTCCGGTGCCATTCCAGATTCACGCTGCAGCACAGACCGTCCCGAGTCATATACATAAGCGACCAACTAGCGCTACGCCGCGCCACATGTGACTGCAATGTCTGCATGTTGCAGGAAAAGCCTACGCAGTACGCACTGCCTTGCTGTGGATTACGTAAAATCTCGACGGGATCAAAATCGTAGAACTTTGACTCAATAGGCAACTAACATCTTAAACAGAGCCATTTAACAGTCATATGCAGGTATATGATCACCGATTAAGCCGCCGTAACGGATTAATTAATGAACAAAAATATAATTCTAACTATACCTAATTAATGCAATAGGTAATCAACACTGTAACGCCTGACTGCACCAAGCTGCGAGAGGAGAGCTGATGCGTCACTATAGCTTGCAAGATCTTACCAGCACTTTGCCCATTACAAAAGTGCATGCTAGCTTCCCTTGCCAGATCCCACAACTTGATACGGCTCAGCAACCCACCCTGCGACCGATCCTATCTCTTCCCTCCCAGCTCTCTACACGACGTCGCTGCCCACCTTGCCCGAGGACCTGATGGACTTCCAGATGGAGAAGTAGACGAGGACCCAGGCTAGCAGCAGCGTCAGCATCAGCGGGATCCGGATCGTGCCCAGGTCGGACACCCCGCTGGAGATCTCCAGCACCCGGTGGCTGAAAACGGCACACCGTCACTCGTCACGTCAGGTAGGGGTTATGTGAGGTCAGGTCTAGTCACAGTTAGGACAAACTCAGGAAGATGGTTAATCCCCGGATGTTCCATGCGGTGCCCTTCCCTAGCTAAGCGATGTTCTATAATATACTCTGACAGCTACGGCCTAGGAAGCGCCGTGCAGCAGGGGCCGCCCCACTACGGCCGGCGCGGCCCGGTTACCGGCAAGGTCAGGGGTGGCACCTTCAAGGTCACCCGGTCAGTGCCAGCGGGACAAACAGCTGAGCGGAGGCGCACCTCGTATAGGTGGGCCACGGCCGGCGCCGCGCCGCGTCAGGCGAGCGACAAAACAGCGGTAGGTAATCGCCCTCCGCCCGACCACATCGCACGAGCCCGGCACGCGAGCGTTTCGGTACCCGGTAAAGGGTGTGGCAGTCGCCGGAGCTGTCACATAGGTTAAATTTAGATACAGACGGAATCGGTCACCGTTCACGTTCAGTCCAAGTGGATGTCTGGCTATGTGACACATGTCACTACCTTTCACCCGAGAGGGCAGGACTGATAAGAGGTGCTGTCGGCTGTCACAGCGACGGGACCTCAAAGTCACATTCCAGCCTAGGAGCTAGCTGTCCAGTCAAAGTCATGTCCACTGTCCCGAGTCAACACACCTCTCACAAGACAAATCGTCGTCGTTAAAACGCTCGTCCGCTCATTATGTCTGTCAGCATACTGCATAGGCGTTCTGCCTCATTGCCCAACCAATTAAACGGTCCGCACACGCATTTAGGTAATGTCGGTGGCGTTGTCGACTGTTACCAATAAACGTGTCACTAGCCGCTGGCTGCCGCTCCTGGATTACGACATATGTCCTCAGATTCCTCCCACAAAGGCGGATAAGAGATGTATGTACTTACCTACATAAGCGTGTCATAGCGAGTTAAATAAGAATAACGATTCACTCTAACTACTTGCAAGGAAATGTACTACCAAACATCGTTGCTGCACCTAACGAGAAAACATATTTCCTAGATGAGGCAAATAATAAATATGTTTATTGTATATGATACATGACGCATTTCGAGACTCCGTTGAAATTTGTGGCAAAGAAAGCCAATTGAAACCAGACTAAGATAATGAACTGTAAGAGGGGATAAAATCCGCTTCATTCCCTTTCACAGCGCAGTTGTCCTTGGCTCTATTTGTAGCCATGCCATGGTGAAATATAGCCACTGACCGCTCGGTATCGCCCGATGAAGTGGAGACGCTACCTACCGCCGCCGTATCTGTTTACAGTATCTAATAACTCAGAATGCCATCACGAAGGACCACTGATACGAAGCGTGTGAACTCAGGGGAGGGGAGAGGTGGCTGATAGTCGGTCCCACACGACGGGGGAGGGATGGGCGAGTGCGAGGAAGACTAGAGGTGTGGCGAGGGGCAGAGAGGGGGAGGCGAGGGCAGGGGAGGGTGGCAGGTGCGAGTCGGGTGCATTTGGCGACCGCATTGCCTGATTAAAATTATTAAACGAATAGAGATAGGAAAATGCTTCAACCCGATGAGGTCAATTTTTCCGTTGGAGTCAGCTGCCAATGCCACACTGTAACAACACCTTGGAACCGTTTCTAAACCACTGTGCAATGTTTACTATGCAACCAGCCTCGAGTACCATCGTCTGAATTGCATTAGCCGTCTTCATATTCCAACCCGAGGACAGATCTATAGACGCTACGTCAGACGACGGGGAGGGGTGGCATTCTTACATCTCGATAGTGGCATAAATGGACCATAGGCGACTTTGTAATAAACGTAAGCGAGGAAACAAGATGTACCGATAGTACCTCATTACCGGAGTGAACGTTAGACGGGAAATGTGTCATCAGAGTTGGTATACGTGAGGGGAAAAACATTTCGAAAATAGATGGAAAATTAAGTCCCCGACATCCGAGAGCTCACTGAAAATTTAATGCATAAACTGCTATTTATACATAATACTTAAAAAATTAAGGCGTTAGCAGCTTTATAGGGTCTTATCCGTGACAATTGAACGAACGCTGGCACATAAAGTAAAGCATACCTATAATATATTGTGGGAGCAAGGGCACATGCAATGAAAAAAGACGTAAAACAAAAATGAACACCACAACTCCCAACAAAGCATAAACTATACGTTTAATCAGGCCGAGCGCCACAAATCCTCCTCGACCCCAGTTCACCCCAGTCCTCCCGACTCACCTGAAAAACACCTCCTCGGGAGTTGTGGCCAGCGCCGCCGACTTCCGTGCCGTGTGAAACACGGAATCGTTCCCCAGCACCGATGACACATTGGCGAACATCGCCGCCGACGCGTTGCCCGACCACAGCCCGTCGTCTGCGTCGAAACCTTCGGTAGCGTTAGCCGCGGCGGTCAGTGACCGGTTCAGGGGTGAGTCCTCACAGCCCCACGTGGAGTTACCGCACGTCGTCCACGGCAGCGTGCTGCTGAACGAGCTGAACAGGTAGTAGAGCGCCCAGCCGATCACCACGTTGTAGTAGGTGCAAAAGATGAACGAGATGACCACGGGAGCGACCCCGGCACCTGACGTGCACAGAGAACGGCGGAGGACACGTCAGTTCCAGAGAAGGCAGCAATCAGTAATTCAAAGCATTCGGTTTAATTTTTTTTGTGCCTGACCCTGATATTATGTCTCCCTGCATGTAGGTCTTTGGTCCATAAGTATTAAGTGGCAGCCTATGTTCGAAGTTTTGAGAAAAGGAAACCGTCTAAAAATCTATTGCGTTTTACGGAGCTTGAAGAGTTAACGACTTGAATGTTATGACAACGTTTCGGACTTAGCTATGGAAAGATCGTCTCAAATCTTAAACGTCTTTTTCAAAATCTTGGCCACATCCTGAATAAAAAAGAATGTCAAGCATCCTCTAAAACCATTCAAAATCATTGAGTCATCCCATCAACAATCTAAAGAGAGGCAACACTACTGGGCGAGGCGCAAATCGGCATGCGACGTCACGAAGACGACCCCGAGAGCGCGTGAGGTCGCATTCACAGCCCGAATGACCGACCCACACCCCAGCTGGCCTACCGGACGATATGAATCACATAGTGAAAACAGGCGCCTGTTTTCATAGAGCGGGTCGGGGGAATCCAGATGCGCGCAGTCATGGGAAGGCGGGGAGGGACGGGGGAGGACGAGGGAGGGTGATGAGGGATGGGTTGGAGGGTCTGTGGCTGGTGCATACCGTTCGTGGTGACCCAGGGTGGTTTGAACGGTGCCAGCTGTTGCCGCTCTGTTAGGTATAATGAATACGATTGACATTCATAAGTCACCATATTCAGTGCCGTTTCATTATTCATGCCATATAATGGCGATGGTACATGCCACCATTTTTTTTTCCATTCCAACTGTTTATTGGTAATACAAATTAAACGCATAATATATAGTAAAATAAGAGGAGGCACAAAAGCCAAAGGGCTTAAGTCTCGGTGCCAACTCTCGTGATGCAGTGCACCGGAAATATGTATAATACTAGCGCAGACACATATACATGCATACTTACATACATACACGTACATACATACATACACATACATACAAACATACTTACATACGTACATACATATATACATACGTACACGCCTGAACACATTCATCATCTCTCATACTTCGAACATACGCTCAGTCAGAAGTTCGCCCGACCGCCGCCCCGTCGCCGGCCACCGCCCGCAGCCACCGCCCCGCACGCCCCGCCAGGAGGCCGCGCCCGGCCAGGTCCCTGGATGAAGTTAGAAAACGCATGAGAATCTGTGAGTATCTTGTATAAATTTTTGGAAGTGGCGTGCCACCGCCCGACCGCCGACACCGTCGAGGCCTGAGCCGTGCAGGAGGATTTCCAGTTGGATGGTTTTAGGTTGAAGTGTAAAGTTGGATTGTAGGCTTCGGGATATATTTTGGTTCATTTCGTCTCTTTGTCGTGTGTATAATGGGCATGAGAAGATAAAGTGTGCTGTGCTTTCTTGAGGGAAACCGCACAGACAAGCAGGAGAGTCAGTTTTCTGAATTTTGTATAAATGAGAATTTAACTGTGTCGTGTTATAGTCCTTAGTCTGGTGTGAAGAATGTTAAGATTTTTGCTTCCGTGTGAATAATATGTGGGTGGTTTGGATGCCGAATAATGTTTTTTGATCCATTTGTTGAAGTCTGAGAGGGGCAATTGCTTTGTGGTCTCTGGCAGTGTATTCCATTGTTTTCCTGTGAGAGTAAAGAAGGAGCGTTGATGTGTTGTTGTCCGGGTTCGAGCTAAAGTATGGTGTCTAGCGTTTCGAAGTGTCATGTTTATGTCATATTGTCGTGTACGTGGGATGATAGTTGAGATATAATTTGGAATATTGTGGTTATCAGGTCTACTTAATTTGTGATAGAGTGTCAATCGAATGGGATGATAGTTGAGATATAATTTGGAATATTGTGGTTATCAGGTCTACTTAATTTGTGATAGAGTGTCAATCGATGTGTTTGTCTTCTGGTTGTCAATTTGTCCCATCCTAATTCGGTGCGTAGTTTGTCAGATGGTGTTCTAAACAGGGTCCCAGTCGTCAGTCTCGCTATTCTGTTTTGTAACGTCTCCAGTCTAGAAATGTCTCTTAAAGGGACCCTCCCACCTTAACATTAGATTTGAGTTGAGATAGCCAAATTGGTGGCCATGGCCTGAAAATACCGGTTTGGGCACTCACAACATCGAAAAATGCTTTAATTCGGAGATATCGAATTTCAAACTTGCAGTTTTCGGATTCTAAGGGGCTAATGCATTGGTATGCCCCCTTAGAATTTGTGACGTCAGCGGAGATCTAACGATTTTAAATCTTTTACTAAAACGTTTGGTAGCACGCGGTGGTATATGCTGCTTTGCGCGCAACAAATGCCGCACTTTCAAATAAAGTCGCTAGGAACAGCGGAGATCCCAAAAAGTAAACAAAAGTAAAAGTCTAATATCTTGAAAACCGGTGAATATTTTTCGATGAAATTTGGTAGATATTCGTTTTTGCTCTTTCTGAACCGAGCGACATCACTTCCATGCCAATTCATTAACTTTTTTGAAGGTGGGAGGGTCCCTTTAAAGTGATATGTCCGTCGTACACAGTGTCACAATAGTCAAAAATAGGTAAAATGTACGTTTTGTAAATTTGTTCTAGGATATGTCGAGGAAGATACTTTGCAATTGAATATAATGGGCTGGTATTTTTGTTTATTTTGCTTATAATTTCGTTTACATGTTCGTGGAATCGGAGATCGTGAGAAAACGTCAGTCCAAGGTGTTTATGAGTCTCATCTTTCGGTATAGGAGTGTCAGCAAAATGAAGTGTCGGCTGTCGGTGTGACTTTTTAAGTGAGAATGTTTGTTGACTAGTTTTTGCTGAATTGAATGAAATGGCCCAGTCTTGTCCGTATTTGTAAATTTCGTCTAAGTCTCTTTGTAAGGTCGTTTGGGTGTTTTGTAGTGTGTCTGGTGAGTGGGAGGCATATAAAGAGGTGTCGTCTGCGAATAATAAAATGTCGTTGTATGTGCGTTTTGATAGATCGTTTAGATAAATTAGTGCTAAAAGAGGTCCAAGTACCGATCCCTGGGGGCATCCTGCGTTAATTTTGCGTTGCTGAGAAAAGGAATTCCGAATTTGAACTCGTTGTAATCTGTTACTAAGGTAAGATTTTAGCCAGTGGAGAAGTGTTCCTGAAATTCCGAATTCATTTTCGCATTTATATAGTAATCCTTTATGCCAGATCTTGTCAAAATATTTCGAGATGTCTAGGTACATTGCCGTGAAGTCTTGTCCGGTATCTAAAGCTTTATATAGGTTGTGTGTTAAGTAATGAAGTTGAAGTTCGGTGCCATGTTTTTTGCGGTAGCCACTTTGTTTATCTGTCAAAAGGTCGTGTTCTGTAATGTGTCCGTAAATTTGCCTGTATACAATTTTTTCGAAAATTTTAGAAATGGCGGATAATATGCTTATGGGCCGGTAGCAAGTTGGATCAGAAGGGGACCCTTTATTTTTGAAAATTGGTTTGATGTTCGCCTTTTTTAGCTCGTCTGGATAAATGCCTATTGATAATGATTTGTTAAATAGTTGAGACAGTGGTTTTGCACCTTATGACCCCCTTGCTTCTTCCGTTCCCCTCGCCGACTTCCTCGGGTCTAAAAGCCCTCCGATGGCCTCCACCCGGTATCAAGTGAACTGACCTTTGAAGAAAAGACAGAGCTGTCCCATGGCCTCCACGGTGCCTTGTCGTGTGAACTGACCTTTAAAGAGTGGACAGAGCCGTCCCATGGCCCCCACTGGGCCTTGCCGGGTGAACTGTCCAATGGTGAGCTCCATCAACAACAGGGGAATGCTGCAAACCACCATCATGATAAGATATGGAATGAAAAACGCGCCTGAAAAGGACAGGTATGCAAGTTATGCATGGATCGCTTCACAAACTGAAAGCCCGTTTATCGTACTAAATCAAAACAACTTATAGGCGGGAGGAACTTTCCATATTAGGTAATGATTACGTGACGAACCTACACGAAAACACCATTTAATAACACGATGACACAAGTATACACCCCAAGCGAGCTTGTGTGAAACATAGAGGTGGAGGCATGGACCGAACCGATCTCGAGCTTCTGACTGGAGAAGTTCAACATTGTTAGTCATACACGTATCGCTAAGGAACTGCTCAATATCCAAGAAGAGCATCATTTAGTCACAGATCTCCTCTAAAACTCTTTCCAATGTATCTACCCCACACGATCAACGATGGCTCACCTCCCCCAGACTTGTAGCAGAGATAAGGAAACCTCCACAAGTTGCCCAGGCCGACGGCGTAGCCCAGACAAGCCAGGATGAACTCCACCTTGTTGGTCCACGTGGTGCGACCCCTCGCCCCCCGGTGGGTCGGTACCACCGAGAAGACCGAGTCGGCATCCGAGTCACTCTCGGCATCGCTGTCGACACGGAGAAAGGGGCGGTATGCGTCAGAGTAATCCTGCGACGGCGGGATGTTGGTGAGGAGAAATTCGCTTATGGATTCTGAGCCATTTTGGATAGGGTGTTGACAATCGACAATTTCATTAGAGCCGTCATTGGGCCCTTTCGGGTAAATCAGAGCTTACGTCTCAAAGGACAGAGTTATGGGTCTGCGCTAAGTCCTTATTATCACCTACAACCGCAAACCGTCGTTTGCGGTTGTCCGCAGTCGTTTGCAACAGCGGTTCAAAGTTTCCGCATCAGTAGGTAACCAGATAACGTTTCATCGATGATAGTAGCGTATGCCTACAAATGAAATCGCACGCCGAACGAGTGGTCTCGTTACATTCGCGGAAGCATTTTAAACGGCACTGCTGTCTTATATGTGAAATTTGAGATGCAAGCAAAACACACGAAGTGGGAATGTCCCAATAAGCGATAAAGGCAATAACTCATTTTGGACCATCAGGGCAAAGGCTTGCTCTATAGGTCGCTGGAGCACTAGAGGTGAGGGCAAAATCTTTCAGGCGCTGGGACGATTCCGGATCTCGATCGATAACGGCATGTCTAGGTATATAAGAAACGAAAGTATCTTTGTATTAAGTATTTGTTATGTCCGGTTACAAAATAACACTTTTGAAATTTAAAGCTTTATTGAGCTTCGATGACAGGAAGGCTCCAAAATATCAAGTAGGCACTTGAATCATTATAACCTATTTCAAAAATATGGACGCCTTACGAGTTACGAGCGACTTATTTATGCACAGATCGCGGCCGCTCCCAGGGCAGCAGTGTCGAGAACTCCGCACGGCAACGCGCCCGTCCATCCGGCTAATGTTTTATTGAACACCTCCAGGCCATAAGTCATGCAGGATCGGCGCGTTTACAAGGCAGAGAACGGGCTTCGATTCGAAGGTCTTATGCAGACGAGGGCCCGAAATGCCCCTAAGCACCCCTGCCATCGTTGTAAAAGGAGAAAAACGATTGAATGTCAGTTGGTTACAGCATAATCGAAGAAAATCGAGCCATAACGATATTGAAGTTTCCGAACCATAGCGCATTATCACGAATATCGACGACGTATAATCAGCCACTAGTTGCGAAAAAATAAATTTTTGGAGAGATGAAATTGCCAATGGATCATACCTATAGGTATAGTAGACGTGCAGGGTAACAATAGGCGATGGTGCTAATTACAGTGACTTATCTCAAATTACATTCCCAGACACATTAACGAGATTATATATTTAATGGCCATATGGCCCCATTGTCTCAGCACGGCCAGTCGTGCACCTTTTATGATTGACCTATTTACATGTCAATGTGAACCTGCATTTACATTTTGAGCTATTGAATTTCACATAGGGACCTAAGTTCAGCGCCTACATGCATGCAACGCAAAAAAACTGAGGAACGTTAAAAACAAGCATACGGTCACAAGAAAGGTCAGCATGCCTAATGCACTTATCGCCCGGTCTTGAAAGCAGCATCTAAACAAATATAAAAGACCGATGCCATACTTATATAAACATGATTTAGACGATTCCTATCATGTTAGCGGCTGGCTGGTTACTTCCACATCGTGGCGAAAACTAATCGATATTTACCAAACAGCTCATCCCGTGGCTCCTTTCTGGCAGCGAGGTTCGCCATGGCTGCACTGTGTAGCGGGATATTAAAGAATGATATCAAAATACCATTGATATGAGGATGGATTCAACTTTTGCGGACTTGAGGCATGCCTCCAAAAGTCTCCCCTTCCAAACGAACCAAAGATAAGCAACTTGAGCGCAACAAGGGCAGAAGGCAGAGTTGAGGCCCGATTCCATGCATCAATCTGGAGTGTAGCACTCCAGTCAGCTGATTAGACAGCTGTGCCCATTTTGGCCACTGGGACATACCGACAGGAACTGGAAGGCGACGAAACCTAGACCGGAGGCTGTGGCATCACCAAGACAGGAAGTTCTGACGTCAACTTAGCTCGTGACATCACCAACATAGGAAGCAGTGACGTGACCTGCCTCGTTGTGACGTGACCAATCTCGTTGTGTCGTGACCTGTCCCATTGGACAGCAATGCAGTGTTCTAAAATTGGATTTTGGTTGGGTGTGCCAATGAAGAAAAAAATCATAGGATGAGAGAAAAGGAAATAAATAACCGAAGTGTATTTGCAAAATGGTGTAATGCCAATTTGTATGCCAACTGATAAACCAGGATTTCATGTCAGAATCTTGACAGGGTGTGAAACAAAAGGATGTGGGTGCATCAACAGTCAAGTGACATGTAAACTGGCTGTTGGAAATACATGAAACTTTTTCAGAGATGAAGTAAAGTCGGTCATTCATATTTTAGGGATGTAAGTATTTTCCCCATTAGGTGTGATTTGCCACCAAAAAGTCTGAAAAATGAACACTGCAGCAGTGTGTCCGTCCAGTGTCCTCCCAGCTCCCGGTAGGAAGTGGTGACTTTCCTCCGGGTCGGCCGGACGTGCGGTCAGAGATGAGGAGGGGGAGGGCGCGGTGATACAGAGGGGGTGCAGCGTGCACGCCGCGCGGGCCCGCCCTGCTCGGACGCTGTCGGTTTGTTTGTACAGGCCGGATGGGATGACACGTGGACACGGTGACGAGCCCGGCTCCGGGGGGGCGCCTGTGACCTCTCAGGGCGCTGACGCGGCGCCCGGGACCGACGGACGAGCAAAACAAACAAACAAACACTGCAAGCCAGCAGAGAGATCATGGTTCATACTTCATAGCTGAGTAGCAACGAGCTGTTGGCATGGTTATATACATGGAAAAATACAATTAAGAGCCCCTGAGAGATAATGGACCGTATAGCTTGGCATGACATGGCAGTAGGATTACGGAACTTGTCATGATACTGCACTAGGATGCCTAGAAGGTATCCAATCGACATAAAGGGTAACTGAGTTTCTGGAGCGGAAGGAACGCACCTGTACATATAACTTTTGAGAGGACGGATTCATTCTCAATAGTCAAATACAACACACTTTTCAAGGACGGTTCTACGTACGATTCTATTATGGAAAACACAAATCAACAACAGATTGCAGTTTGCATCTACGAGTATGCCAGGTGCACGGACCGCATAATGTCTCGCCGTCTTTTGAGTTACCATCCGATCTCCACTACCTATAACCCAGACCAAATCAGGGCTGCGGAGTCGATGAACTTTAGGGTGATTCCAACTCCGACTCCGCAGCCCTGGACCAAATAGCCGACACTCAAGTGACTGCACTGCACTTTCAACAGCCGGAAAGGGCTCACTGACTTATAGGTAAACACAGTCGATATCGGTTTCAGAGGAACGCGGAGTTCTCAGAGACCGTGCAACTTGGAAGATCTACGTGACAAACGCCTTGACAAACGCTCAGAGAACTGCAGGGTCGTATGTCTTACGTCGATGTAAAACAGACGTAGTGACACAAATGAGACCTTATATTTTATGACATTTCAAGAGGACATGATGTGGAATTCGTAAGAGTAACAAGTTAAGTCCTCATTAATTTGTTAAAAATGGCGATAATGGCCCCAGCAATGTTTCATAAGTCCTCTAACTTCTATCTCGCTGGCTTCGCCTATCAGGGGCTTGTCCCTGTGGGTGATATTCGTTAAAAATGGAAAAAAATGATGAAATAGTAAATGTTGTAGGCGAGCAATGGCATCTTTGAGCATCATCATAAGTAGAAAAGTATGTATAAATAACCTTATGCTCATTCTTTGCACTTTTTGTTGAAATTGAATAATTAAACAAAATCATTGATATATTTCGGCTTGCGCCATCTTCAGAATGTACAGAAACAATTGTCGACACAAACAAACAAAATTCGATTCCATCAATCAATAAATCGTGCAGCGCTTCAATCAGCTCCTTGATGAGAGAATAATTTCATATATACATGGCTCTCGAAATAACGATGCGCCGTCCATGATATCTAGGATACATGTACAATATACAACACACAAGATCAATATACAATATACAAAATAACAACATAGAATCTGCATGAATCATCACATTGTTTGGCGCAGCCTAAATCAACGGCACAATCAGACAGTAGTTGTCACAATCAATTTGTGGATATGTACAATATAGTTATGTGGGGGTGTACGATGGACGCTGCAGAAGTGGCCAGGATGAAGTTTGGGTGTTCAAACATGGTTTTTGGTTCCTTATTTCCACTGATTCGGATATTTTTAAATCAGCGACGTCTTTACACACTCTTTCAATGGAGATTTTGAATGACGATGATGTGATTGTACATGATGGGTGTCTTTGGGTAACGTGATCCCCAAGAGGGGTGTTTTTTGCCTTGTTCTTAGCGTCACGAAAGTGTTCATTGAATCTGTCACGGATGCGCCTTTTTGTTTCGCCAATGTAAATAGTACTTTCATTGTCACAAAGATTACATGTAATTTTGTAGACGGCATTTTTGATGTGACAGCGGCCTGGGAGCCCTGCTTCGCATGTGGCACAGCGTTTGGCACCAGCAGGGCACGGGGGGCTTTCCAGCGCTGACCTCACGATGTGTTTGGCCACCGTTTTCCCACTGGTCCACGCGATACGTGCCTGAACGCCACATGAGCGCACTACCCCGTTGACTCGTCGTGCAAGGGTCTCGTCTATGTAGGGGAGAGATATGTAAGTCGTGTCGGTGTCTCGTTGCTTAGTGTTTCGTCTTTTTGATCTTTGTCTGTGATACATGATTTTGTGTTTAGTGCTTTGAATGAGTCTGTTCGGGTATCCATTGTGTCTGAACAGTGATTCCATGAGTCCCATGCCCCGTTCTTGTGCTTGTCTATCAGAACCTAGTCGTTTGGCGCGTAGAAGCTGAGAGTGTAGTACAGAGCGTTTGCATTGCATCGGGTGTGCTGACGTGTAGTGAATGATGATGGGGGCTGTCATAGGTTTGATGTAGAGCTCAGTGCTGTAAGAGCCGTCTTCTTTCACTCTGATCATGGTGTCAAGGTATGGTATGCATCTGTTTGGAGTTTGGTCGGTCCTCTCTATCGTGAACTTTAGGGCTGGGTGAAAGTCGTTGAGGAATCGGAAGTATTCGTCTAGTTTGTCCGGTCCGTGTGTCCAAATACCGAGAATGTCGTCGATATATCTCATGTACGTCATAGGCTGATACTTTGAATTTGGAGAGGTGAGTATCATCGATTCTACTGCGTCCATGAACATAATGGCTAGCGGTGGGGCGATCCTGGATCCCATCGCCACTCCCTCTGTCTGTTTGAAGTATTTTTGACCAAATCGAATGTAGTTGTTGCTGAGACAATGTCTAAGGAGGGAGTCGATGTCCTTTACAGTGAGTCCACAAGTGTCAATATCGTCCAAGTGTCTGTTCATAAGATTCAAGGTAGCTGTGATTGCCTCGTGGGTGGGAATATTTCCGTAGAGGTTGGTCACGTCAACTGAAAACACTATACAATCTTTTGGCAGTCCTTGGGGAAACTGGGTCCGTAGTCTGTCTAGATAGTCGTCTGTGTTTGTCAAATGGGCCGGCACAAAGGTCAGTAGCTGCGTAATTATCCTTTCCAGAAGCCATGCTAACTTGTCCAGGGGGTCTCCGCATGCTGAGACGATAGGTCTGAGTGGTGCGTCTGGCTTATGTGTTTTTGGGAGACCATAGAGCTCAGCTGTACGACTTCCGGAGGGCATTACGCTTTTGATGACTTTGTCGGGTACCTTGTTTGCTAAGGTATCTTTGATAAGTCTTTTTGTTTGAGCTTCCAATTTAGTAGTAGGATTTTTAGGCACGCTTTCATATTCTTTGGTTATTTTTTCTGCTTTTTGTAAGTATTCGTTTTTTGATAGCAGTACCAGGCTCTTACACTTGTCTGAACGTTTTACTATGATATCTGGATCCTCGCCCAGTAGATTTGCTTAGCAAGGGCCCTAATTTCGCTCTCACACGATCAGTGAACAGGAACGTGATCAAAGAAGTAGAGATCGGCCTTGAGAGGGGTGTTTTTGCCTTGCGGTGGAAAAAGCATATTGAAAAAAGAAAGTCAAACCTGCATCCTAGTGCCAACAGTTCTGAGTCAGATAACGGTACTGTAGCATCAAATACGGATCAGCAAGATGAAGGTGATTCAAATACCCCTGAACCAGACATCGACCTTGACCCAGACCTGACCCAGGGAGCAAAACACAAACTGAAATTGACACCAAAGTTTAGCGACACTGACACTCGGGCGGCACCTTTCGCTGACAGCAGCACAGAGAAGTCATTCAAAGTTCTCAAGCAAAAAGTCATGACCATCTACAAAAATCACAAAACTACATCAGAGCCCAACCATGGGCCTCATGACAGTAAAATGTTAAAACAGCTGGGCGAGGATCCAGATATCATAGTAAAACGTTCAGACAAGTGTAAGAGCCTGGTACTGCTATCAAAAAACGAATACTTACAAAAAGCAGAAAAAATAACCAAAGAATATGAAAGCGTGCCTAAAAATCCTACTACTAAATTGGAAGCTCAAACAAAAAGACTTATCAAAGATACCTTAGCAAACAAGGTACCCGACAAAGTCATCAAAAGCGTAATGCCCTCCGGAAGTCGTACAGCTGAGCTCTATGGTCTCCCAAAAACACATAAGCCAGACGCACCACTCAGACCTATCGTCTCAGCATGCGGAGACCCCCTGGACAAGTTAGCATGGCTTCTGGAAAGGATAATTACGCAGCTACTGACCTTTGTGCCGGCCCATTTGACAAACACAGACGACTATCTAGACAGACTACGGACCCAGTTTCCCCAAGGACTGCCAAAAGATTGTATAGTGTTTTCAGTTGACGTGACCAACCTCTACGGAAATATTCCCACCCACGAGGCAATCACAGCTACCTTGAATCTTATGAACAGACACTTGGACGATATTGACACTTGTGGACTCACTGTAAAGGACATCGACTCCCTCCTTAGACATTGTCTCAGCAACAACTACATTCGATTTGGTCAAAAATACTTCAAACAGACAGAGGGAGTGGCGATGGGATCCAGGATCGCCCCACCGCTAGCCATTATGTTCATGGACGCAGTAGAATCGATGATACTCACCTCTCCAAATTCAAAGTATCAGCCTATGACGTACATGAGATATATCGACGACATTCTCGGTATTTGGACACACGGACCGGACAAACTAGACGAATACTTCCGATTCCTCAACGACTTTCACCCAGCCCTAAAGTTCACGATAGAGAGGACCGACCAAACTCCAAACAGATGCATACCATACCTTGACACCATGATCAGAGTGAAAGAAGACGGCTCTTACAGCACTGAGCTCTACATCAAACCTATGACAGCCCCCATCATCATTCACTACACGTCAGCACACCCGATGCAATGCAAACGCTCTGTACTACACTCTCAGCTTCTACGCGCCAAACGACTAGGTTCTGATAGACAAGCACAAGAACGGGGCATGGGACTCATGGAATCACTGTTCAGACACAATGGATACCCGAACAGACTCATTCAAAGCACTAAACACAAAATCATGTATCACAGACAAAGATCAAAAAGACGAAACACTAAGCAACGAGACACCGACACGACTTACATATCTCTCCCCTACATAGACGAGACCCTTGCACGACGAGTCAACGGGGTAGTGCGCTCATGTGGCGTTCAGGCACGTATCGCGTGGACCAGTGGGAAAACGGTGGCCAAACACATCGTGAGGTCAGCGCTGGAAAGCCCCCCGTGCCCTGCTGGTGCCAAACGCTGTGCCACATGCGAAGCAGGGCTCCCAGGCCGCTGTCACATCAAAAATGCCGTCTACAAAATTACATGTAATCTTTGTGACAATGAAAGTACTATTTACATTGGCGAAACAAAAAGGCGCATCCGTGACAGATTCAATGAACACTTTCGTGACGCTAAGAACAAGGCAAAAAACACCCCTCTTGGGGATCACGTTACCCAAAGACACCCATCATGTACAATCACATCATCGTCATTCAAAATCTCCATTGAAAGAGTGTGTAAAGACGTCGCTGATTTAAAAATATCCGAATCAGTGGAAATAAGGAACCAAAAACCATGTTTGAACACCCAAACTTCATCCTGGCCACTTCTGCAGCGTCCATCGTACACCCCCACATAACTATATTGTACATATCCACAAATTGATTGTGACAACTACTGTCTGATTGTGCCGTTGATTTAGGCTGCGCCAAACAATGTGATGATTCATGCAGATTCTATGTTGTTATTTTGTATATTGTATATTGATCTTGTGTGTTGTATATTGTACATGTATCCTAGATATCATGGACGGCGCATCGTTATTTCGAGAGCCATGTATATATGAAATTATTCTCTCATCAAGGAGCTGATTGAAGCGCTGCACGATTTATTGATTGATGGAATCGAATTTTGTTTGTTTGTGTCGACAATTGTTTCTGTACATTCTGAAGATGGCGCAAGCCGAAATATATCAATGATTTTGTTTAATTATTCAATTTCAACAAAAAAGTGCAAAGAATGAGCATAAGGTTATTTATACATACTTTTCTAAATAGTAAATGTATAAATTTGTTTTAGAACTCGCAGTGCAAAGGAAGGTAAACATATGTTCCGGCAACGATGGGCTTATTATACGAAATTAAAAGAAACAGTTTGGACGTAGGTATACCTTCTTGCAATGGTGTAAATCAAGGCTATGTAAACCGTGTAAATTAAATAAACGCCGCTATAATTTGACAAGCTTGGCAAATCATACGTGATTGAGTCATAGACGATATAGTGCTTAGTGCTTGCTACAGCAAAAATATCAAAGGCCAAGCAAGTTATTTCGCCTTCGGAACTGAAACGTATGGGCATTCGTAAACCGTTCACCTGTGACCGCCGTGCGGGTCGGACGGCGCCGGCCGCGCTCCGTGAGCGTCCGATCTGCTGTGTTTCAGTACAGTGATACGGCACCTGACTTTTCCACGGTCATAGTGGGACACTAAGTGTGGTGGTGCTGAGCGGCGTGATCTTCAAAGGCAGGTAGAGAAGATGTCTGATTCGATGGCAGCCTCACTCATCGAGTGTTTCGGTAACGACAGAGTCGCAGCGACGCTGAGAAGTGAGAAACCTGCTGACGCCAATCGTCAACGAAGCGGTGGAGGCTGCCGTAAACGCAGCTATGGCATCGAAAGATGCTGAGATAAAGGCTCTTAAGGAAGAAGTAGAGAGAGTCACCAGTCAGCTCAACAACATCGAGCAGTACTCACGGAGACTCTGCGTCAACATTTCGGGTATTCCCGAAAACGGCAACGAGGATGCCAAGTCGATCGTGTTGGAGCTGTCGGCAATCACTGGGGCCAACCTCCAGCCCACCGATATCGATGTAGCACATCGAATCGGAAAGCAGAAGCCCGGCAAAACTCGCACGATCATCGCTCGTTTTGCGACACTGTCCCAGAGGCAGGCGTTCTACAACGCGCGCCGCGCCCTGCGTGGTGCAAGGGCGCCGCCAGGCTCGAAGTTGACGGGTGATGTACTGGCAAAGACCTTCATCTCCGACAACCTGACTCAAAAAAAATGAGTTCCTCATGTACCAGGCCAGGCAGCTGAAGAAGAAAGGGAAAGTCTTTGCCGCATGGTCGGACCAAGGAAAGCTCAAAGTAAAGGAAAACCAAGGGGCGTCAACAAAGGTTTTCAAGACGACAGCCGACCTCCGTGCCCTGTGTGGAGACGACCCCGTGCTCGACGAAACTTCTGCACCGGCTCAGCGACCGGAGACCGGCGCCGACGACTCCGGGTATCGCAGGTCCGGGAGACGGGGTAGCAAGCGTCGGTAAGAAATGAACCTTCCCCCCCCCCCTGGAACTGAGGCCTGGCCTCGCCCATGCGGCTGCTGTCTGTGTCTGCCTGTCGCGGCCCTGGCGCCCCTGGTGGCGGGCGGCGGAGTTGCTCGGTGGTCAGCCGCGACTTTCAAGTGAGCGCGGCGTGTTTTTCACCGTTAGTTTCCCAGTCCATGGGGCGCGGTTGGCCGCCGTGCTGACAGCTGCCTGCCCGCTTGCGTCGGGACCTTATCGAACTATCGAGACCCCGGGGGCATTGACTTTCAGCTGGCTCTCCGCCGAGTGACCTGGGCCCTGTTTCACCGGTGATAGCAGCACGCCACTATCAAATTGCGCGAGCTGACGTAATGTGATGATGTCATACTGCTGACGTAAGGGATAATTCTGGCGCACGATTGCCGCAATATTGTTTTACGTCATCAACTAAATGTTCGAAGTTTACGTCCAAATTTTCCTTAAAACCAACTTTTTTAAATACATCATATTAAAAAAATATATATCGAAAATAAATATACTATCATGACTGCATAAACTCTTACTTTTAAAGGCTCATACGTCACTTAATGCCGCGGCCAAGGTCGCGGCAATCGTGCGCCGGAACTGCCCATCACGTCAACAGTATGGCGTCATGACATGACCATGGATGAAGTACTCCATGACATTATATATATATATACCTAATACCGTTATACCTAATCTTAATACCTTATACCTAATTATTACCGTTATACCTAATCCATGACATGACGTCAGCTCGCGAAACGTGATAGCAGCGTGCTGCTATCACCGGTGAAACAGGGCCCAGGGATGTCGCTGTGTGAGCGGTGCGGTGGCGGGGCCCCGGCCCGTCTCGGTGATTCGCCTGACACGTGACCGCCGACCGCGTGTCACGGCCGCTCGCGTGGCGGCTCTCGGTGTGCTTGGCTAGCCGGGGCGGTCCTGCCGTCCCGGTCGGCTGACTTGCACCGCCACTGATGTGTTCACTGACCCGCGCCCTCCGCCCCGCGGTGGGGTGGTCCACGGCTGGTGGTGGCGGGGCTCAGCGCCGGCCGGCCGGTTGCTCCGGTGTACCCGCCGTCCGCCTCCCCGGCTCGCCTGCTGCTCGGGCCAATTGCGCGGCGTCTTTCGTGGGGGTGGGGTCGGGGCTATCGTGTCTTATGTAAAGTGAGTGCATATGATGTGTCGTCATATTACATTAGTATAGAACGATCATAGTGTTTTGACTTTGAGTTTGTTCGTGATAATTTAACAGTTTTCGTTTCATTACTCCTTTGTGCGATTGTATTTGTAACCAACATTAACGGAGATTTTTCTTTAAATTTCTAGACTGTTTCTTGCTGGTCTCTGCATACGTTCATAGGTTTATTTAGGTGCATGATGAATGACTGAAAAGAATGTGTCTGTGCCTGCACAAACGTACGACTGTTTCAGTGCCGCTCAGCGCCGCCGTCTGGGGGTCATGCTCGCCTCCGGTCCCGGCTCTGCTGGGGTCGCCGCTCCCGCGCCCCGGGGGGACGACCTGCACGGAGCCGTCAACCCCAACCGTAGCAGCTGCCTCTCTCGTCCGCTGTCCCAAGACCATGGGTACACACGAACTTTAAAAATTGCTCACGTCAACATCAATAGTATAACTGCAAAAAATCGACTGGACGAGCTTCATCATTTTACAAAAACCAACAACATACACATTATTGGCCTATCCGAAACAAAGCTAGACGATACCATCCATCCAACCCTGTACTGCCTAAGCGACTTTCATGCACCAATTACACACAACCGTAACAGACATGGGGGAGGAACAGCCATATACGTACACAAATCACTACCAGTTACACGTTTGGAAAATCTAGAACTTAACAATTGCGAAGACTGGGTATGGTGCAAAATAACTGTTTCAAAATTTTCACTTCTAGTTTGCTGCCTGTACCTACCGCCCAATTTAGACAACGATAGGCTTAACCAATTTACCGAAAACCTGTCCGAAAGCGTCAGTCTCGCTAATACGCATCAACACACAGAAAAGATCATTCTTGGCGATTTCAATGCTGGGAACAATTATCTCAGTGAAAGGCATCATATAACAAATAGCAATGGGATCACACCCTTTGATCTTAAGCTAAACGAAACTGCAGAAGCCATAGAACTAATACAAATCATCCATGAACCAACCAGACTAGCGGAAAGATGCGCAAACCTAAGGGACCTTATATTTATTTCAGATACTGCAATGCTGAAAAACTCCGGAACATTATCCTCATTTTCCCGTCTAGACCACTTCCCTGTTTTTGCTGAATTAAATGTTAAAATACCGGAAAGCCAAACATTGTCAAAAACATTGTGGAATTACGACACGATGAATTCTGATCTGTTCATACGAAAACTACAAGGAACCGACTGGCACGCTATAACTAATCAAGACGTTCACTCTGCAGCAATAGATTTGACCGAAGCCATCTTAAGTGCCGCGGAGGAGGCAATTCCAAAAAAAGTCATCCGTATAAAAAGCACAGACAAGCCATGGGTAAATCTATCTTACTATTTGAACAGGATCCGTCTGTCTGTTTGTTTGTCTGTCCGCCACGCCGTGTAGTGGGTTCAATTTAGCCGGCCTACAGGGCAGACGGTATATCGTAGGGGGTTGAAATTTGCACACCTTCTAGGTGACAGAGCGGGTCAGCGCCTTTTCTAGGTTCCGACTCGCTGGGGTGCACGGTTCGCGCGTGGGGCGCGCTGGAAGAACGCCAATGAAATTTTGATCGCTTCGTAGATCTTCATTGAGAGCCGGGGTCGATAAACTTTGTGAGCTAAATGCATGCCGATCGGTGGCGGGTGCCTCGCATTGGCGGATGGGCAGGTTTTTAATTTGAATAAAAAGTGGCGAGAGAATGTGTTGATTTTCGTTCAATGGGAAGAGTTTGTGATACAAGTATAAAAACGCACCGCGTTTGCCGCAATGCGTCACATTGGTCACTACGCGCCATTTTTGCCGCAGCTCGCACAGTTTTGTCAAATATGGTCCGGTAAGGGTACATTTTGGTACAAAGATACATGCTCAATCGACGGGTGAAAATGCGCCGCGTTTGTCACAATGCGCCACATACGCCACAAAGCGCCATTTCCGACAAATACGATTAAGCGTAATGGAATGGCACGAATAGGAGCAGGGCTGGGAACACTTCAAGTCTTATTTTTAGTACTTATTATTATATTAACTTAGTCCGTGACCTGACGTGACCCAGTGGTGTTGGTAGGGGTAGAGGTACGGGCGTTTTTTGCGGCGTTTGCGGTTGGCGGAGGGCGGTCGCGCGATGCGGGCGGTTTTCAGTTTTACAGCATTTGCGGTTGGCGGCGGGCGGGCGCGCGATGCGGGCGGTTTTCATTTGTTGCGGCGTTTGCGTTTGGTGGCGGGCGGGCGCGCGATGCGGGCGTTTTTTTTTGCGGCGTTTGCGGTTGGCGGCGGGCGGGCGCGGGATGCGGGCGGTTTTCATTTTTGCGGCGTTTGCGTTTGGTGGCGGGCGGGCGCGCGATGCGGGCGGTTTTCATTTGTTGCGGCGTTTGCGTTTGGTGGCGGGCGGGCGCGCGATGCGGGCGGTTTTAATTTTTTGCGGCGTTTGCGGTTGGCGGCGGGCGGGCGCGGGATGCGGGCGGTTTTCATTTTTTTGCGGCGTTTGCGTTTGGTGGCGGGCGGGCGCGCGATGCGGGCGGTTTTCATTTGTTGCGGCGTTTGCGTTTGGTGGCGGGCGGGCGCGCGATGCGGGCGGTTTTAATTTTTTTGCGGCGTTTGCGGTTGGCGGCGGGCGGGCGCGGGATGCGGGCGGTTTTCATTTTTTGCGGCGTTTGCGGTGTTGTTCGCGGTTGGAGGCGGTCGTTTTTTTATTTTTGTTTGTGCGATGTTTGCGTTCGTCGGCGGACGGGCGTTTTTTTCAATTTGCTTTCGCATTTGCTCACCACGCAGCAAAGCAAGTGGCGCAGCCGCTTGTCTATATTACTATTTGAGGAGGGTGCGTCTGTCCGTTACCGAGGTCCCGACTTGGTGGTGCTTTGCGTGGACTACAGGCCAGACCGTTGCACCTAGCCCGATGAAATTTGCACAAATCATAGATCAAGGATGCGCGACGTGCCTTTGAGGGGTCTGACCTCGATCAGGTTGATAGGGAGCGCGTGGCGCGTGCTCAAAAAGTGGAAATTCGCGTCATAGACTTTACATGTATAAATCGGCGTGCGAAATCGGGCGAAAACGGCCAAATTTGCCCGACACGGGTCCGATCCCCGTGCAATATCTCGGTAACCGTGGGCCCGATCGGCACGGGGAAAACAGCATCGTGTAGATAATTGAACGGGCTATCGAATGGTGTGCGGTGCAGGGGATGGCACGCGCCACGTGCACTGGGGAGGGCACTTTTATTTGGAAAATTGACGTTTTGGACGGATTTCGGAATTTATATTATTTTCAGGTGACCGTCAGACGGAGCGAGTTGAAACAACGCCTATTGGCAAGAGAAATGTACCACCTCTCATGGAAAAATTGTGAAAAGCTGATTGATCCAAATCAAGGTGGTACAAATCACGGGAGAAAATGGTGTTTGTCAATTTTTGTGCCACTTTATTTATCACACGGGTTTTGCTCCATGGTCTGATATCTCTGGCAATTAAAAATTGGCACCGTTGGAAAGAGCATTCAATTCTGTCCAATATTCACTCTTCATTTTTGCATGACGGGCAACAGTATTCTTAAAAATGTAAATGTTCCAAACCATTACATCGCAATTTTTAGCGAAATTCATCGATGGCCCTCAAAAGACTTCACGCCAGTTTTCGAATCATTCTTAAGTAGAACGCATGATAATACGACACGGGCACCTCGATGCGATGTATCTTTTTGTTTTATTACAAAATGCTTGGCCGTCAAAAAGCAATCGAACGAAATGGATACCAACCAAACCGACACAGACCAACCCAATACCCACGGGTCAAAAAATCCCCCCTTCGCGTTGCGGAGCACGCGGGTAACCCTAGTAACGAACTAAAAAGAAACATAAGAAAAAGGGATACACTCTTTAAGTGCGCAAAACGTACCCAGTCCCAAATTGATTGGCACAAATGGAAGTTGCAAAGGAACTTCGTAACTAAACTTAACAAACGCCTTCACTCTGAACACATCCTGTCCCAAGTTAGCAAATTAACAAGCAACAAACAAAATCCCCACAAGTACTTCCAAATTCTAGGCACCCTTATCGGTCGGAAAAACGTCCAGCCCATTCCCCCTCTAGTCAACAAAGACGGTGAGACGGTGATACATGACAAAGACAAAGCTCAGCTACTTAACGACCACTTTGCTTCCCAAACGAGACTAGTCACTTCCACAAGACAAACACTCCCAAACGAAGCCCGGCCTGTACCCACACTAGACAGCATTCAAGTGTCTGAACAGGAAGTGATCCGCATCCTTAACTCCCTCGATCCCAACAAGTCGACTGGACCGGATAAAATTCCAACAAAAATACTTAAGCTTGCCACCGTTCTAATTTCTGAGCCGTTAACAAAACTCTTTAATAAGTCTCTCAGGGACGGTATTATCCCAAACTCTTGGAAAACAGCTATAATAAAGCCAATATTTAAGAATAAAGGGTCACCATCCATTCCATCAAATTATCGTCCAATATCTCTCTTGAACACCATGTCAAAAATTCTTGAAAAAATTGTCTTTAACGGTATCTACAAGCATATTAGCGAACATCACCTTTTCACAGACAAACAAAGCGGGTACAGACCGGGCCACAGTACTCAACTCCAGCTCGTTTATCTGACGCACAACTTATACCAAACACTTGACGCAGGCGACGACTTCACAGCAATCTACTTAGACATTTCCAAATACTTCGACAAAATTTGGCACAAAGGACTTCTTCACAAGTGTAAAACAGACTTTGGACTGACAGGGACTCTCTTGACGTTGCAATCTTATTTGACGGACAGAACACACCGTGCACTGTAAAAAAAATTCACTAGCTAATTTTGAAATTAGGCATTTTTTACGAGTGCCTCCCTTGCACCTCGTTACAACATATATGGACATTAGTAGTCAGAGCCATGCACGTTAACAATGCCCTTTGTGGAACAAATGCCTACGAGCGAGAGCATGTTCAGGAACCTAATTTTGCGCAATGTTAATGAACTACGCACAGCCTCACAGTGTTACCCGCCGTTGGCTTGTTCTCGGCCAGTTTTTGGCGTGTCCCTCAATTAGGTCATTTTGCTATTAGCTCAGCTGACGAGGCCCCGGCTGGCACCTACTAAACGGATAACCTTGCGCAGGGCATATTTTAAGGATTTTTCACTGCGTCCCAAAGGTGGCATAGGGCACACGCTTTGATCGGAAAGGGCACATTGCAAGCGAAATAGTATATAATGCAAGTGAGATAATGTACAAATACATTGTGTACTGTGCTGGTGGAGGGGCACTGCAATCGGGATATTGGGAGCGGGCTGTGATTGCTTTTGGCCAGTCTCGAAATTCGCCCAGTCGTAG